GGGACCATCCAATTTTTAGATGGTGAGATATAAGTGGTAGAAAATTCAAATTTCAATTTTTTCACCTAAGAACAATCATCTAGTGATTCTTAGGTGATTCCCAATATTTCAAATTGAAAACATCCTCCCAGGTAAATCTCTTGAACACTGGAGTACCAGTAAACTATGTTCCCGAGGGAGCATTTTATACATGTCCAGTATTTTTCTTTTTTTTCTGCACGTGTGTTATTTTGTTGTATATAGCAAGCTGATGGGAAAAAATGCAAATATGGGTGCTGCAAGAAGGGAGCACGTGGCTGCATAAAGTGTTGCCCTACCCCACTAGAAGAGCAGCAACAAGGAGAAGTAGTGGTGGAGCTCAGAAGCGGGCCATGGCCACTGCAAGCATGGCTGCTGCTACATGTATCACCATCAGTGCAGACGCTCCTGCTCCCACCCTAATGAGGCCAAGGTCGAGGTTGATGACGACGTTGTTGCGAACACATAGGCAGAACAAGATCATGGCCACTGCAAACATGGGTGCTGCTACATGTATCACGGCCAGTGCAGGCACTGTTGCTCTCACGCAAATGAGGCCGCTGTTGTTGAAGAACCCTAAAATAATATCACCAACTTCACTAAATAAATCAGTGGATCTATCTATCTACGTATGAATATGTCAATGTCCTTGACAGCAGTGTGAAATAGTAACGTGGGCAGCGATGGGAATACTAACTCTTAAGCGAGTCGACTTTGCCCTATAATTTGTGTGTCTCTGTGTTTGTCATGTAATGAACTAAACTAATATTTATCTGTGTGACTGATGAGATGCTACAATTACTGCAATTAAGAAAGAAATATGCTTAGAAAGAAGCATTTCTCGTTTTTTCAGTTTTTTAATTATTTGAAATTGGCTACACAAATTTACGCACATAATACACAACCAAAATTGTGGTGTAAGTAAGATAACAGCTCCGTTAGGCAGGGCATCTTGAATGAGGGGCCAAGTTTACTGCATTCCATGGAACACCTTAAGGGGGACACCAATTACTAAGGTCCATTGCTGAACCATGCCCAGAAAGTGGCTTCACAAAGACTTATTTCATAAGGCCATGGGTTCGTTGGACACAGATTTCTAGGTCCTCTTGTCCCATGTGCACTGAGCGAGAAGTGGGGGCTCGATCTCTAGGGCCCACCAATTGGATGAGAATTAAGTTAGCCTGCCCCTACCTTAGTTAAATATGGGAAACGTTATGAGTAACCCACTTATAGGACATGTTATTTTTGTGCGTAGCTGTCCAATTTGAACAGACTGTTTAGATAATTTAAGACAATTCTTTCAGACGATCTGATTTTCATTGATGCATAGCTCTTGGAAGTACATAAACTCTAATTAAAATGGTTTTGTTAGATAAATGACCAAATACCCCGAGAACTTACATGAGTATTTTGGTTATTCTTTTAATTAGAAGTATTTTTTATATTTACTAGCTGTGTCCCAATAGGGTGAGGATACTCCCCAATTTTCATGCAAAAAATTGAAGTATCTCAAATATCGATTCATATTAGACGGCCAAGAATAGGGGTTCTATTCATCTTACGTAGGTGGCGTCAAATGTAAAATTTTCGCACTAAATTTAATTTAATGAGAGAAAATGTTGGTAACAGATGCGGATGATGTACGTTGCCTTTGGGAAAAAAAAATATGGGTACCTTGGCACGTGTAGAGCAGGCAGCAAGACAAGCCTGGGTGAGGGCAACCCGGGCCCCCTTGCCCGACCCTCGTCCCTAAAGGGTCAATCGAGCCTGGCCCGAGTGGAAGAAGCCCTGGACCAAACCCATCAGGAGGCCAGGCCCAATTCACTTGAAGCCAAAAAGAAAGGAAACAAAGGTCTGGACAAGGTCTGGCCAAGCCAGCCCGTCATAGCCTTGGCCAACGCCTAATCTGGCACTATCCTTGGCTGTGGTGGCTCAGCCCTGGCCCACTCCTCACGCCACAATTGCCGCCATTGCCAGCTCTAGGCAAAAGGTTCCGAAAGGCCATTATGACGCAATAATGTGCCGTCCCCCACCTATCACCTTAGATAAAGCTTACTGGGGATATAAAGATGGGTTTGTAAGTAAACATGTCAATTATTTAAAAGGAAAAAGTCTTTATAAGGGTGAAGCCTAAACAATCAAATTAAGGCAGCCATCAAATATTGTCAAAAGATGTTTTGTTACGGTATTCCTTATATTTTTCCAAGAATTACACGGAGAGCACCCCATCCCACCTGCCCTTTATTTTTGAGTTTTTTCTTAGTTTTGTCCCCTGGTGCAACGACTACAACATGGGCTCACAAGATCTTTTCCTCCATATATATATATATATATATATATATATATATATATATATATCGAAGATACTACAAAATGCCTATAGGCGAAATTGAACAGTGATTTCACCTACTCTTATTACCATTCAAACTTCATCGCATGGTCACAGTTGTCCAGTAGTGTTTCAATTTTCATTTGAATCTATTGGATCTTCCGAGTGCAATTCTATTTTTTTAAGTTGTTTCAACTGCTTTTTTGTCTTTAGTGATGATCTAAAGTTTTTGTCTATTACTCGAGCCTCCTCTATTCGGGTCGTCTGCTCTTGAGGCCTGCTGATCTATTGTTGCTCGTGCTTGCTCGATTCGGGCCGTCTGTTCTTGAGGCCTGTTGATCTGTTGTTGCTCGAGCTTGCTCTATTCGAGCCATCTATTTTTCAAGCTTACTGATTGGCTACTGCTCAAGCTTCTTATGTTCATGTTCTTGTTTATGAGGCTTGTTGATTTGTAATTGCTTGAGTCTACGCTATTTTGGTGTTTTTATGTGATTGTTGATCAAGCAATATGAGTATGCACCTAAAGATTCCAACTGCTTGTTCCAGGTGCTCTCTCTCATAGCATCTTATGTTTGAAGGGGAGTGTGAAAGAAAAGTATATCTTGTATACCAAGTTATTATGGAATGTATATACTGTAATTAATATATATGATAAGGGTACGCACAATATCTTGTATTTATGGTAAGTCGGGGTATAGTATAGGTATGTGTGATTTATTTCTATTATTATCATCTATAATTGTCTATAAAAGACAAGTTTATATAATCATTTTGATTAATGGACATTGAATCTCTTCAAAAAAACCTGAGACTCCTCACATCTTTAACATCTTCCTTATTCAAGACTACACTTTCAAAAGTCCTTTGATTTCTCTTTCTCCAAATCTCCCATAAAACTTGCTCTAATAGAGATTCTATGAAGGAAAAACAGAGCTCTCCAACATTGAAAATGTCTCTTGCATCCAAGGGTTTTTGAATAGCATAGAATTCTTCAGTAGCGGAGGCCCCTTGGGACAATTTATCCAAGCCACTAGGGAAGATGCCATTGTAAATGCCTCTCTCTCCAACAATGAAGGTTTGCTAATCTATCAGTTTTTCCCTAGCCAAAATATACGAAATTTACTAAACTATAAAATCTCTCCTTTTGGCTCAAAAATAGATGCCTTCCTTTGCTTTCAAAGATTAGCACAAATAGCGTTCGCCCAGATGATTATATCGTACACTTGCTCCCTCAGGAAAAAGCTCAAATGGTTACACTATCATCTAAAATTTCAGGACCTACTTCAAAATCACCATATAAGTATTTTGAAGGGGAAAAATTGGAATTGAGTTGCCACGCACTTCAATCAAATCATTGTCCAATTTCTAGGAAATTTCTTTCGCGGAGTGGCATATCAATTTGTCTATTTATTTATTTTATCTAAGCTAACACTAGTAATTAGATTAACAATGTTACATCCCGAAACTTTCAAGGCCCTTGAAGGGCTCCTCCATAGGGCTTTACCCGTGCAAGTAAATGTCCAATTGCTCCCACCGAAACTCAAAATCTTTTGGCTTTAAATATTTTCGCATTGCCCACAAAAAGGATCAAGCTTACGTGTAACATGGTAAAAGCATTTGCATATTGAGGACAATGTTTTAAGATCCAACGATCGGGATCGTGGATTCAGGTCAAGAAAATCGGTTGGGACCGTACTCAAAACTAGTTTTGGGGAAGTATCAATCCCAACCAAAATTTCCCCTGAAAACGTTTTAAAATTTTTTTTGTTTTGTTTTTAGTTTATTTAATATTTCTTACATCCTCCCTAAATCTCCCCACCCCATAAACCTCTATTATTCTTCTTTTTTTTATTTTAATATTATGTTTCACCGGTTTAAAATGATCCAAATAACCGATCCAACAATGTGATATGCACGTGGGGACGATCCACCCCACCTATCTAGGTCTTGAAACACTGATGGGGGGTAAGCATTTGCACCAATGTAAAATATTTGATACATATTAAAATATGGAAAACGTTTATATAAGGATGCAACCGTATAATGTAGAACTATGGATGCACCTAAAAAATCTATCAGAAATGGTAGTTTTAATGTTGAAAAACCCTTTGATTGATCATCGAGATGTATGACCATGAAAAATAAAAAGATTTTAAACATAAAAAATAGTACATTTTACAACATATTATCAACACCGTCCATTTTCAAGATTTTCATATGTTTTTGATCTACTTGATTTTAACCATTTTTAAAATTTAAAGTTTTATAATTAGATATAAAATAGATTTTGAGATAATCCTAAAAGAACATTTTACATCAAAATTATATACCATGATAAAATTTAAGGGTGCACCTTACCTACCTCTACAGCTACGGATGCATCCGATGCCAACTGCACCCTTAAAATATACACAATCGCCTGGTTTTGAATGAACACCAAATAAGGTATATATTATTCCGTCACAACATCTGTCTGTCATAAATAATGGAAGACTACTTGAGATATTAATGTAGACCCACCAAATTTAAAAGCCATCACCCTCTCTCTCCCCAACATCACTTTTCAAACATTACACCACCACCCCTAAAAAAAGACCAAATTACAAAGTAACAATCAAGAATATATATATCAGAAGTCTTGAAAACGCAAGGGTAGTGTTCCACGAACCAAACTTTAATTAAGTAATAGAAAAGTAAACGTGATCTTATTTGCCAAAACAAAAAAGAAAAGTAAAACTTATCTTCAACAAATATTGAATATATATAGTTATACACATGCTATAACCCCATAAATATTAGGACAATAGGACCCACCTTGAATCCCCTTGAGCTCAGACCGGACCCAGGAAAGTCTGCATCCAGGGTTATGAACCCAAACCTGACCCAGTAGTTATTGTCGGGTTAATAGGCTTGATTGTCACTCCAGTCTCCATTACATCTCTATGTCCTCCAAGTCTGGCAATGGAAAATGTAAAATAGCAGCTACACCAGATAGTTGTGCCAGTTCTTACAAATAAGTAACATAAACGCCATAACTTATTTAAACAAAGGGAGAAAAACCATTAAGAGATGACATATATGACTCTTACGTTCACCACGAACCTGACCCAGTGGTTCTTGTCTGGTTCATAGGCCTGATTGTCACTCCAATCTCCACTACATCTCCATGTCCTCCAAGTCTGGCAATGGAAAACGTAAAATAGCAGCTACACCAGATAGTTGTGCCAATTCTGCAACTCACCAATATGTAAGATAAACACCATAACTTATTCAAACAATGGGAGAAAAACCATTAAGAGATATGTCATATATGGCTCTTACGTTCGCCAGAAATATGCATGGTAGAGAATATGTGAGCCGTGCCCCCAGTCTCCTTCACAGAATCAATCAAGTTAACATATTTCTGCCTTGTTGGAATATCAGAATTTCTGAAATTACATCCAATCATGATAGGATCATTAGGAAGAGATTGAACACCACGCACTCTGAACACTTGATTTTATGCATAACCCAAATAACTTGATAACTGCTAGGACAATTACTCAAAAATATATAGACTTTCTCCTGCACGAAATCAACTACCTGCATAAATCTTTGTGTACCCCATTATCATGCTGCAGCTACAACGAATAAACCCCACCAGAAAGAAACAAATCTATGCGAGGTATCTCAATGTACATATGCACATTCCACATACAAAGGACGGGCAACATATTCTATACCCTCACATAATTTACTGAAGGAAAATATAAAAACTTGGCCCAGAGACATTGTCAACATGGTGCCATTTACAATTAGGGCACGGGCACTGTATAACAAGCATTAGTAGCAGGATATACAATGGAAAGGTGCGTCCATAAATAGTAAGCCATCAACCTCTGATTGTAAACATGCATATGCACACCAAATGTTTTTTCTAACATTCCACACCCAGGTAATGCAAGCATTTTTAGGTAAGGGTGTTTTGTGTCATTAAGCAAGACATATATGAATTTCACATTTTACATAATATAAATACTGCATACGATTTGTTTAGTATATTAGATTTCTAGTTTAATATATATATACGTGTCTAATATATATTTGATAAATTTGTGTGTGTGTAATATATATTTGATTATAATACTACATACAATAGTTTTGTCTTCAGTAGTATTAAAAAACATTTATAGCAAATTGTACAATCCACGGCCAGGTGCTCCAACCCTAAGCAGGCACCATTCCACCAAGGCACACTCCAGAAGCCAAGGAGAATAATACGGCAATAATTAGTGTCACTTTGCCTCAAGGCAACAGTAGAGGATCCATGATTGGAAAACCAAATTGAGTAAATTTTTAAATATAGAATTTTTTGTCATATAGACACAATTTATGGAAACAAAAAAAGAAAAACGATGGCATCCAAGATAATGGGGCTGGGGTTGTGGTGGGAGTGCCACCTGAGCCCCAATTAAAGGTTACGGCCTCCATTCTCACTAACACTCTAAAAGAAAAAAAGATGACATTCAATACATTATGATCAAAAGTAAAGGTCGAATGAATTACCTGAATAAGTCATCAGTTATTAGAAGAGTTTGAACAGCCAATCTTTCATGGGCAACCTCAACATGCTTGGGTCCATAGCATGCCCGAGCAGGATCCTAGAAAGTTGAGTAAATTTTAGATGTGGTATATAATCCACAGTGCATAGGTAGGGGCCTAACATCAACATTGATTCATCCAAAAAAATATAATCCATAGTACGCCTCTTGTTAGGTAGTCTAGCACCAAAGTTATGCTTTTAACTCATCGATATCAAAACATCCAAACTCTAACAACAGTAAATGCCTAAAAAGGAACATATCTAACCAAAAAAAACATAAGCAAAGACCCAGTTTGCATGAGCAGGGCCAAGAAGTTTAGGTTTACACCAAAGCAAGTTATGCTAATTTACTCCCATGTAGGGAGATTAGAGCTCCCAGTTCAAAGGTTAGGGCATTCAAGCAGCAGCACAATGTCCAAAGTTTTGAATTCCACATTAAACTATCTATGGGAAAAAAAGATTTAAAATGTAGTATGAAGAAGAATGTGCAGTTCAGATAGATGTCTGTTCAGTTCAGGCTCAAAAACATCATGATTGGCCAACAAGATTGTCTCAGAATTAGGTAATGAAAAATACTGATATTTTTAAAACCATGTTCACAAAGATAATGAAATGCCAGAACATGAAAGGCAACCATGAGGTATTTAAACAAATTATGGCTATATCACACAGGCAAAACCCCCGTGAATAGATACAATCAACTTCGACATAGGTGCACATGTAGATTCATAAAATTATAACATAAGAGAGACAAAAGGAAATCCAGTGAAAGACTTTGAGTTCCTCATTAATCAAGTGATGATACAACTCAAAATCACTAAGCAACTTTGGAAACAAAATTATCAAACCATATCTGATGCAAGGTCAACCCGCTAGCTGACAACTACAATAAACACTCAACGGCCAGATCAAATCTAGGTCGATCCAACGGTCATGATTGCATTTTGTATTTGAATTTTAATATTTTTTTTACAAATTCAATTTAAATTTTGAGCATTTACTCTTGAAAAATAAGAAAACCTAATAAAAATATTAAAAAAAACAATTTCCAAAAAAAAAAATACCCCTGAAAGTTACAAGGGTATTTTGATTCACTTATTTTTTGTGAATAAAGTTCTCAACATTTTTATTAGGTGCAGCTTGATGAGAAGAGCGGATGCTCTAAATTTCAAGTGATTTGGATTTGTAAAAAAGATATTAAAATTCAAATACGAAATACAATCATGACCATCAGATTAGAGTATATTCAATATAGGCCGTTGGACTTAAACTATTCCTTCAGCTAGTGG